GTGACTTATAATTCCAATGAAAATTCCAAACCATTCAAAAAACCTCAATTATGTTTTGTCTATTCAAGAAAACTTAACGAACTTAACCTTTTATCTTAAAAATCCCAACTAACTTACATTTTTGTTCAATTCACATTAGGGTCAACCGACTAATAAAAGTCAACGAATGACATGGCTTATGAAGTGGAATTAAATATCAGGAAAATGAATTGTAATACCAATGGAGTTTCGAATATGAGCTTCGTTTTCGATGTTCTTGGTATCCTCAGTTTCGTGTCGACGACTACAACTTTCATTTAGGCTTCATCAGCTAATTCGCATTATGTTTTAAATTTTGATAGTCTATAAGGAATACACTATAAAATACCTTCTGAAATTCATAACTTCTTTATATGAACTCTGTTCTCGACGTTCTTTATAACGACAGATATGTATATACGATGAGGGAAATCTCCAGAAAAGTCACAATATTTAGGGAAAGTTTTTAACAAAATCCTAAATTTTATTTTTTGAATAGAAAAGTCCATACTTTTTAAATTTTTAAATAGAAAAGAAACCCAAGAAACTGGCTAATTTATTCATTTTAGCCTTTCTGTTTAGTAGGTTATAGGATCAAACTGATAATTTTTCCAAAATAATGAGACTTTTCCAGCAAATTTTGTCAAAATTTGTACATAATGTATAAACGTATTTATATCTATTTTTACATATTTATGTATTTTTTTTAAGCTTTTATATGTATATGTTTATATGTTTTTATGTATTTTAAATGTATAAACATAATGTTTTACGTATTTATATGTATTTTTAAGCATTTTATATGTTTTTTATGTATTTTTATGTGTTATTTTTTTTTATGTATAACATATTTATATGTATTTTTACGTATTTATGTACTTTTTAAAGTTTTTTGGAAAAATAGATATAAATACGTACAAAAATACATTCATACATTATATACAAGTTTTGATAAAATCTACAGAAAAATATCATTATTTTGGAAAAATTAACGATTTGTTCTCATGATCTACTAAATAAGTCAAACGGGATAAAGTGAATAAATTAATCAGTTTCTTGGGCTTTTCTATTTAAAAAGTTAAAAAGTCGGGACTTTTCTATTAAAAAAAAATTAGGACTATATTAAAAACTTTTCCCAAAATATTGAGACTTTTCTAAAGATTCCCCTTTACGAGTACAATTTTGTTTAGGTTGTTTTTTATAACGAGCAGTCGATCTTCAATTCACTTTTTCTGACACACACATTGTATTGTGTGAAATGAAAATTTCGAAAAATTATAACTTTTTCATACGAAGTCAGATTTTGGTTGTCTTTATACTTATGGCTTCGTAATTACGATTACTACGACTTTCGTTCAAATCATTTATCGTGAATACTCTTTTATCAAAAATGTTATTTTATCACTTACCGATAAATATATTAAGATTTTCTACAAATATCATATACTCATAATGTTTTACATATAACGTGTATATGATAATGTTTATATAGCTCGTAACACGTATGAAAAAGCAATTTTCCTATTCAAAAATTTTAAATGTTTGATAAAATGTATAATTATTATTATTATTATTATACTTTAAACGTATATCCTAAGTTTGCGGACGTTACATTAGACCATAAAAAGCCTCTCAGAGGCCGGGGGATTGGTCAACTAGATAAAAGCCTCTCGAGGGGAGTCTACTTGAATCAGTAAGTAGTGTTCATGGATCGGACAACTTGAGAAAAGCCTCTTTGAGGGAATCTAATTGATCCGGTAAGTAGATTTATTAAATGATACAATTATATGTCATATGTTACGATGACATATAATATATGATTTATTACATGATATTTATGTGTAATTGTATGTATTGCATATGATCTGTGGCATTGTGATTCTCACTAGGCCATAGAGATACAGTTGCTACTTAAATTCTTTTAGCGTGATCTTCATGTGTGAGGGAGGGAAAAGAGGCGTGATTATGATATCTAGACATTCCCAAGGCATGACATTTATCTATGTAGTATTTATTAGTCTATGAGATATTTTTCAAAACACTTTTATGCTTCCTTACTATTCTGAATTTGGTTGCAATGCTTGTGACAAGACATGATTTTGCAAATTAATGTGGTATTATGATTTAAAATATTAAGTTTTATTAGGATCATTTCCTCTTATTTCAAAAAAAAAAATGGTTCAAAATTTTGGGGTGTTCCAAAGCTATAACATGTTTATCAGTTCATTCTAATGCTTAGATTTCAAAACATATCTCTCATTATTCTTTAATGTCAATTTTGGCATTTCAGCCCATTAAAGTTTCAAAGAACGAAAACTGTTAATATCTTTTCGTCAAATTACCACCATGTTTCCAACACTTTATAATTGACATTACAAGTGTATTGTATCTTTGCGTGTATCTTTTTGTGCCAAACTGTAAATTGTAGTGTCGCCGTTGATTTTTTGTCACTTTTACACCATAATGAATCATAATATTCAAGTCTTGGGTTGCTGCTCAAAAATTTTAATTTTTTGTGCTTAAACGACCATTTAACTAAAATAATTCAACTTTAGTCTTTTTACAACTAAATGATGGTTTGAATGGTGTTTAACCAAATACTTGTGTTTCTAACTCAATGTTACCATCTAGGTTTGATTCACGAGTTTGATTTATGGTTTTGCATGCGTTTGATTCCTAAGTTGTGGATTTGATTATTTGATTTCTAGGTTTGATTCCGATTACCATTCAATGGGTGTTTTTCCACCAGCTTTGATTAGGTGATTTCTGAGTATTCATAGGACCAAGATCTATTGCCTTGGTTGTGAGGGTAGGGTCTTAAGGTTTAAATTAGTTTCGGAGTTTGTATTTTTTAAATAATAATAACCGTAAAAATAAGGGTAAATATGTCATTTTACCATGATCTAATAGCATAAACTTAGGGGGTGTTTGGATTAGCTTATTAGCTTATTTGTGATGGGGATAAGCAATAAGCAATAAGCATGGGGAGAAATGCTTATTAAAATTAGTTTATTTAGCTTAATAAGTTGGATTTTATCCAAAAACTCAAAATTAGCTTATTGTGGGAATAAGCAATAAGTACCTCTTTTTTCCTATCCAAACACCCCCTTAACACCAATAACGACCGGGACCATATGTGTAACTCTTAAACATACCAGGAACATTCTGAGTTAATTTTTGAAAATAGAAAGTGAACGTGTCTTTTAGCACCTGCATGAAAAAAATGACTTCTATTGACCAACAATTTTTTTCTTGTTTTATAAATATCCAAAAATAAATAAAAGTATTTGATTTCATCCATCGTCTTTTTCCACTAAATCCAAAATTATTAAATAAATACTACAAATTTGTATTCAACTCCTCCTTTACTATTAAATCCTCAAAATGAATCCTATATGTTTTAAAAATAACTAACATTATCTTTTATATAATAAAACTGAGTAAATTACATGAATCGTCATTTGTGCAAACGCCAAAAGACACATTCGATCCCTGTTTTAAAAATTAACTCGGACCATCCATCATGGGTTGCTGTTTCCTTTCACGCTTAGTCTCTATCGATGTTAGTCATTAGTTGTTAGTGACCCACGTGCCTTGCACGTAGGATATTTTCTTCTTTTCAGGTCAGATGAGTATGACACGACATCGGGTATAACCAAACGTTTCTTACTTCATCCTCTTTCAAACATTTCCATTGCACAAAGGGACCCTAATCATGTACACTAATAGGGATTATAGTGAAGTGGAAGATTTGGAAAGAATGGGAAAATTATGATCGGGAAAGTTCATACGAACAAATGGTGGGAAGCTCAACTGTTAGTGAACATTGGGCCGATACATTTGACCCACAAGATGTAAGCTAGTTTATCATTGGGCCCAAATATCCAATACATAATTACTTAACATAACTTACTAAGTCCAAATACTGTTCTTAGAACTTTCAAGATTGTTCGGATCATCTTTTGAAATAGTGTTTATAAAAAAAAAATTGGATGTTACAATGAACCGGTTGAGTTTGGCTAATAAAAGGTCAAGTTGAGCTAATAAAGATTAAAGGTTAGACTTTAGCTAATAAAGATTTTGGTCCTTACGCATTAAAGTTTCATTATTTTGAGAAATTTTTTGATAAAGTTCTAAATATTTTTTTAAACAAAAAAGTCTCATTATTTAATCTGTCATTTCCTGTTAGAATTTAAATAAAAAATAAAAAAGGGGAGGGGGGGGACTTTTTTTCATTAATGTGACAAAAAAGTTAAATAATCGGGACTTTTTGTTAAAAAAATTATGACTTAATCAAAAAAATTTCCAAAATAATGGGACTTTTCTGCATAAAACCCTAAAGATTTCTATATAATTGTTGCTTCCTTATGTCAAAATATCACTTTCAAGCAAAGATTTCTATATAATTGTTGCTTCCTTATGTCAAAATATCACTTTCAAGCTTCGAGTAATCGTTTGATACTTATTTTACATAAATCATATGCTTGCTGATTATACTACTCAAGAGACAAAAGTTGTCCAATGTACTACTAGGTTGCTATGTAGGAGGTGCCAAGCTGTTGAGTAATTCATTAAAACAATTAGACGGATATTCGATTTTGAGATAAGACAACTTATTCATTTACTTTAGTTTGTAAATACGCTTGTGAAATATGTTGTTTTCTCTATGCTTGTTGATGTTAAATGGCATCCACCAATCTTAGGCACATAGATGGATCAAGCCAATCAATAAACTGGATTTGAAACCTTGTTTTCAACAAGACCAGAATCTCTTAATCTGGGTTAGAGACCCTTCCAAGATGAAACAACGATGTTAAGATTTGCAAACACACACACACACACATGCAAATCACCATAGAAATGATAAGATATTGATTGTAGTAACATCATGTGAGAGGTGTGTAGCATGCATTAACACCACAATGAGAAAATGAGACCAAAGGGATTGTTCATCTAAGGAAATGCAAAGATGGACCAAAGTTGTCAACTCAACTATTCCACAGGGACTATTTATGTAATTTACTCATTCTTATATTACGCCATTATACTTTCATTTATTTCCTATTACAAAGTACTGTTAATTTTTTTTTTTCTTGTGACATTATATTTAAGACAATCAACCCATTTATAAATGGGATAACTAATATAAATCTACCAAAGTTTCCACACATGAAAATCACGCTTATGGCTTCTGAGACCTACCAGTTTTTCTCCATCCTTGTATCTCTACAAAAAACACACACACAAACAACCAAAATCTCAAATTAAGAAACCAAAAACTATCTCTTAACAAAATAAAAAAAAAATAAAAAATTACCTGTATAATCAATTTTATACCCAACCGAATCCCTAAACCAACTCGGTGTGGGCCCATCAACCTCCATAGACTTAAAAAAATCACGCCGACATAAATAATACGTGTCTGTGCTTAGCTTAAATCTAGAAAGATCTCCCAAAAGACTCTCTTCCCATTCCATGTTATTTTCCATGTCATCATCTTCATTAGCATACACAAGCTTTGCACCACATTCATGCACTTCCAATCCATTTTCCACAATGAAACACACGTTGACTTTATCACCAATGTCTAATAGGTTTCCCATTGACCAATAGCTTAACCATACTGCAACTTCATTGAATTTAGGTTTACCAAATACCATTGGGTTGTAGATTAAATCGAGACCCTTTGTTGTGTTGGTGATTTTAGCGAAAATTGGTTGGTTGTGTTGGTGTTTTTCTTCGGTGATTGTGTATTTGAATGTTATGTTGAGGCCTTTGAGAGTTTTAGGAGATGGAGGTATGGTGAAGGATAAGGATGAGGATTGGGAGATGTAGTCGTGTGTTATGTTTGGATTGGTTATGTTTGGGAGAAATGTGCTTGTGATCCCGAATTCATATAACATCTGTGCTACACAAGTTATGGGATTCAGTCATTCGTATGATGGAATCATGGAAGGAATGGAATGAAAAAAACATGTTTGTTTTGCACGAAGGAATGGAATGAGCAATTCCTGAAGGAATGTGATTCTTTCTATTTGTTAATGTTAATTCCATAACAATAATAAAAATGTTTTTCCCCATGGAATGGAATCGACCATCCCTAAAGGAATGTGATTCTTTCCATTTTGTTGATTTTCATCCCTTAATGAAAATTTGCAATATAACCCATTTTATTTAGGGTTTCATGCAGAAAAGTCTCATTATTTTGGGAAATTTTTTCATAAAGTCCTATTTTTTTTTTTTGAACAGAAAAATCCCGATTATTTAAGTTTACACGATAATCTGTCATTTTTATTTAAGGACTTTTTCGTTAATTTGGGCAAAAAATTAAATAATCAGGACTTTTCGATTTAAAAAAATAGAAACTTTATCAAAAAATTTCCCAAAATAACAGGACTTTTCTACATAAAACCCTTTTATTTATGTAATTTTTATTGATTTCCTTGTTATTATGATTCAATTATAATTTTAATTTCTAGAATAATTTTAATGTAACTTATTGGGGTTTCATGAGTTTTAAATATGTTAAATTTTTTTTTCTTTCTAGGTAAAAGTTTGTTAACTATAATTAAAATAATATATAGAATAAGTTCAAATTATATATTGTACTTCGATATAACATTTACACCAAACCAAACATGATCATGGAATGTAATAACTCATTCCATTACTTTTCTTATTCCATTCCATTCCTTTGTCATTCCATTCCATCCAACCAAACAAAACCCAATTAGTATCTCATGTGTTTGAGAAACAAGAAAGAACCTGGATATGGTGACTTCTGCCTGATGTAAGCTGATAATCACCAATTAAGGAAACCTCAAGATCTTGATAATCTTTAAGCCACTTCATATGTCCCAAATCCCTTTCATCAATTCTCAAAATTGGCACCAATTTCAAAAGCCCTTCAACTTCCAACAAATTAATACAACCTTCATAATCAAACTCCCTCAATGCAAACCGATGTGATTGAAAACTTATATTCTCCAACAACTCACAACAAGTAGTAAACAACTCTTCTAACGTATTCGGAAGACACTCAATTCTCTTAAGTCTTGAACAAAAACTCAACTCAAGAACCCTTAAACTCTTAAGATGATTGTAATCAGGCAAAAACTCAAACAAATTATTCCCCAAATGCAAATACTGCAACATCGAGTGGATTTGGAAGCTCAATATTGAGTAATCACTAAGCTCAAAGTCAATGTTGCAATTTTTAAGCCATATTCGCTCTAATGAATGTGGAAACTTAAGATTTGAGCCTTTTAAGAGGTGTTCACATCCTGTCATGTTTAAAAGAGAAAGACTTTTTAAGTCTTCAATGGTGTCACAAACATGAACTAAACTGTAACAGTTCCAAAGAATCAAAGTCTCAAGATTAGGAAGTCTGGAGATGTTGCAGATTTTGAGGAGACTGTGTGAGTCTTTGAAGTTTAGAATCTTCAATGGTTTAATTACCTGTTTCATAAGTAATAATATTGTTTAGAGCACCTTCATAAACAAGAAGTTGAAAGGAAAAACGATTTATTGACTTTTCAAAAAGAAAATAAGTCTAGAAAAGTGTGTGGCTAGCAAATAAGCACTTTTAAAAGTAGCTTTTCATTTCCTTCAAAAGTTCATTTTTAAAAGGTTGATCTCAAAAAAGACCTTGTATTTTGTGTTTTTTCCGGATTAAATTTCAAATTTAGTTTTTGCCTGTAAAAGACCTTGTATTTGTTCATTTTTTCCGAAATAGCCCTCAACTTTGTATTTTTTTTCCCCGGAAAAAACCCTCAACCTTCTAAATGCTTCCAAATAAACCCTCAACTTTTTTAGTTTTTCTCGAAAAAAAAACCTCACATTTTACAATTTTTTTTGGCAAAAAATGACTAAAAGGGCCAAACCGAAAAAAATGAAAAACTACAAGGTCTTTTTCAGGCAAAAAATATATTTGAGGTTTGATCTGGAAAAAACACAAAATATAAAGACCTTTTTTGAGATTGACCTTTTTTACAAAAGTTAGAGTTTCCTGACTTTTTGAAAAAGCTTAAAACTTATTACTTTAAAAAGACAATACTACCCTCCAAACCCACGATTTCTCCCATTCACGTCTTAAATAAACTCGGCTACTTCATGAACTATGTAAAAGTATTACATAATAATGTCCTTTTTGGTCATTCTACATATATAAGCTAATCCAAATTCCAAACACTTCATAAAAAAACCAACTTATCAACTTATAGCTTTCTGATAACACATAAGCTAATCCAATTCCAAAGTCCAAACACTTTTTTAAGAACTCGTTTTTGCCACCACATAAGCTAATAAACCATTTTTGTCAAAAAGTGTTTATTTAGTTAAATAAGAAAAATCCGTAACACCCCCTACTAAAAGTATAAGTAAGTATGAATGTGTACCATGGGTGGTTCAAAGAGCTGCAATCTGCTGTAACTCATGTCTATAGCAACCAAATTTCCCATGAAGAAATCAGAAGGAATTGTTCCTAATTGAAATCCATGCCAACATAACCATCTTAAATCTTCTGGAAAATCATCATATGATCCACTTAATTCCACATAATTGAGCTGAAGCAACTTTAGATTATCCATTTTTGCAAGTGAATCTGCCTCAAATGCTTCTGGCTGAAATTTTATTTGAAAACTGAATTACTTAGCACCTTGTTTTGTTTTGAAGAATTTCCTTAAATGGGTTGACTTTTTGAGATATGTTATATAAGGGTTAATCTCATAAAAGACCTGATATTTTTGTGTTTTTTTTTTAAAGGATTAAACCTTG